AATGTAAAATCGGCCCGCAGATCAGTTTTCGGGCCCTGAATCGGTTGAATATTTTCTTCAAAATGTTCAAAAATGTAACACAGGCTCGCTAAAAAGTGCAGTTCCCGAGGCCTGATATATCCCAAAATCCGTGCCATGGTGGAAATGAACTTACATATAAAATTTCATCAAAATCGGTTTTGCAGAACTTGAGATACACGCGTACACACACATAGACCGACAGACCGAAAGACCGACGGACCAACTGGTTGCTAAAAATAGTTTACTTATACTTCCCTACTATGGGGAAGTGCCTTCCCACCGAAAACTCGATATGCAAAATTTGTTGTCATCACATAACCTACCTTTTGTATACACAATACGGTCGGTAATAAAAATATTTTTTTTCTCTGAATACAAAATTTAACTGGCAACATAAATGACGTTCCATTTGATTTTTTTCATTTGAAGTTTAAAATATTTTTGTATGCCTTTTGTTTTTCTGTTTTGGTCTTAATTTTTTTATCTTTTCTTATTGTTTATAAACATGATTATGTTTTTACATAAGTTGAGTACATATTTCAAATGTCAAAACCAAACCTGAAAAAAAAATTTACATTTCATTTGGGTATGCATGTATGTATGTACACATGCTTGTATGTTAAAATTTGTACAATAAAATAAAATAAAAAATCTGATGTGGTCATCACATAACCGACTGTAATGTGTACTGTCTACTTAAGTGAAAGTGTTACAGAATATTATAAAAACGTCTGTTAAATACTTCTTTCAACTTTTCGGGGCATTAGTAAGCTTTTAGTTGACATACTAAAAAAATGTAGATTTGGCTCTTAGTAGACTTTCGCTTTGTGCTACCCAAATTCCCTGAAATGCTCGCCAGTTAGTTTCGGTAACAACCAGCACTCAAATATCAGATTTCAAAAAATTCCATCAATTCGTGCCGATTTTACAAAAATTTACAGATTCATAAACCGTTGGAAGGTTTGGGCGGCATTTCGAAGTCCGAAAGGCATACGACTAAATTCGAACATGCCGAAAGGTGTAGTTATTGCCGTTTTATGCATATCGCTTTGGGAAACAGAGATCAAGTGATATGCCCTAACAAGATCGATTTTTGAAAAGGTACGCTTGCCGAATAAATTCATTGAAAAGTTTTGAATGTGAGGAATAGGGTAACGATCTGGCACCGTGACAGCGTTCAGACAACGGTAATCGCCGCCAACCGACGTTATTTTTCTTCCAAATCATATGGAGTGGTGACGAAATGGATGACGAAGCAGGTCTAGATATCCCGATACTGACCATATATTCGAATTCTGTTTTAGCCGTTTTATGACACACTGAATCAAGTCTACGTGGAGAGGAAAAAGGAAGTAATTTTTAAGAATTTCTCCGTATTCCACGACGTAATGCGAAGGTGTAACAACGTCAACCTTAGCCTGCAAAACCTCAACCGACATATTTGTGTTTGGATCTACCAATCTCCTGTTCCTAAGATCGACCCGAAACCCGATAGCCCGAAACGTTCCAAAAAATCAGCCCCTATTTTAGGTCTACCTACTGACGCGATGATAAAAGTGTGTGAAAATTGTCTGGGCAAACCGATGTTTAGTTGAAGTAGTTTAGTACCGTAAGTTTGTATAGGAGTGCCGTTTGCAGCAGGAAGCAAAAAGTCCGAAGGCCGATTTTGGCATCCAATGTTTCCCCGATTTAGTATAACAGAGACGTCAGCGCCCGTGTTGAGAAGAAATAAAATGTCGTCTCTTACGAATAAGCGGCGTGAAGAGTAATTCCCGTTATTAGCCGCGACAATAACGGGGCGCTTTAGTTTGGTGAATTCGTATTTGTACTGGTGGAAGTAGCGTTCGCCCTATGAAAGGAGGCGGAGAATCTACACCGTCTTACACATTTCAGTGCGTCACGCCCTAATTTTTGATCGTACCAACAAATGGGTTGCCCAGAGGCGGACCTATTTCGACTGCAATTCCGACTTCTAGAACGACTTCGAAAAGTTGATCCCGTATTGAATTTCACTAACATTTCTCCAATCGTCGACAAACGATCTTCTAAATTAGATGAAGTGTCGGTGAATTCACCCGAAACTAATATTTTCATTAAATGAGCTACCCGCTAGTATCCGCATGGACCTAAAGACTTCGGATGGCCTACGATCACCGATATCCTCCCGATCAAGGAGAGACTCCAATTTTTTTATTTCGGAGAGTGAATTTCTTTTTATGAGGGCCCCTTTCAAAGTTTCATATGGCTGCGAACTTGGTGGATTATTTAAAATATCGATCACGGAATCTAGTGTATCTGAAGGCAATGCAGACACAGTTAGACAGTATTTGGTATCACTACTAGTCATTCTATAAATCAAAAATTGCGCCTCCACCTGAATGAACCAGGTCGCCGGGTTGGCAGACCAAAATTGGGGTAAACGAACGCGCACAGAGTCTACTTCGTGTTTTATCTCGGTCGCAGGACTGAAAGGGTTTGAGTCGGCATTTGTTTCTTCCTCCAAAGCACTAGGATTCGCTCGGAAAAGGTCGGAAATCGGAGGTATCAAAGAATTTGTAGAATGGGTCTGTTTGATAGGCATTTTCTCATCGTTCGACATATTACATAAATATGTATGTACATACATGTACATACATATATGTCTACATTCTGAACGTATATTTTTGCTGATTTCTTTTTATAAAATAATTAAAATGTAATTTATTATAATTCTACATTATGTATGCACTTTGATGTTGGCACATATTATATTTCTATATGCACACATTTCTATATGTTTAGTTGTAAATAAAATATTTGATCATAAAATATCAGCTTTTCTTTAACCTCAAAACTCAAAAGCAAAATTTTTTTCAAAAGCAAAGTTTTTTAACTTTTTTTCTGGTTTGAAATTTTAAAATAAGGTTGAAGAAGATGTTGCACTTGGTGTCAGTTGTACTTTCTTAATGATTTCACCCGAAATTTAATAGAATACAAGAATTAAGTATAGCTTAATTCTTGTATTTTCGGAACATGGTCTCTAATTAAATTTATGTGTAAGTTACAATACCCTTAAAATTTATTTAGGGTTGTGCAAAAACGGGGGTGGGTGCTCAAAGTTCAAGAATCCCGCTAGATAGCCAGATCTAACCTGTTTTAACCAGCTAAATTGTAAAAATATACACCAGTACTGTACTGCTGTTAAACAAAGAATTGAAGACTTTTTGGCTTGTGAAAATATAACAAATGTATAAATACTGTATTATTTGTGAACTTTTGTGTTAAGTTTTGTGTTATTTATTTCTATTTTACTTTATTTACTTATTACGTACAAACACATTTTATCTTCACTCTTCTAACAAATATCAAAAACGATTTCTTTCTAACCTGCGATTGACGTAAATAAATTTTTCAATGTTTTTGAATGGGTTATCGTTGTTGGTGTAAAGTTAGTACATAAATGTATCTAAAAAAGAATATTTTTTTTTCAATTTTTATTTATTTTAAAATTTAAATTTTTTTATGTGTACTTAAGCATACATACATGTGTACATACACACCTTTTTACTTTTAACATTTTTTCCGAAAATAATAGGATGTGATTGTTATTTTTAATAAGGTTAATGCCGCCTATTAAAAAAACGTACCCAGATATTTTTCTTTCAAGATTTATTAAAGAAAGCTTAAAGATGAGTTTTTTATACCCTGCACTTCGTGAGGGGTATACTAACTTTGGTATGGAGTAATTGGACTGATGCGGACAACTAATTAAGATGTAAATATAAAATTTTGTATACATGTGTCCAATAATATCATACCCAAGAAGTTCGGGTGGCTGTCATATAACTCAAAAAGCTAATTTTAATATAAAATAAATATTTGGAAAAATAATAAAGTCAGATTCATGAAACTTGGCAGTCGTGTGTCCAATTATAGGTCGGACATATTTCTGAAGCTTTTGAGGAATTGCTTGACAGGTTCAGGTAGCTCCCATATAAGTCTAAAAGCTTATTTTAAATATTTGAAAAAATAATAAAGTCAGATTCATGAAACTTGGCAGTTGCGTGTCCAATTATAGGTCAGATGTATTTGTGAAGTTTTTTGTGGAATTGCTTGACAGGTAAGAGTACCTCCCGTACAAGTCCAAAAGCTTATTCTAAATATTTGGGAAAATGATAAAATCAGATTCATGAAACTTGGCAGTTGTGTGTCGAATTATGGGTCAGACATTTTTTTGAAGTTTCTATAGAATGGTTTCACAGGTCCGATTGCTGTACAACAACGAAAAAGCAGGGTATAATTCAATCGGTTTATACCGACTGAAACGTTTTTACTTGTTAATATTAAAAAATGAATGACAACCAAATATAAATAAGCATTTTAAACTTAAAATATATAAATATGGAAAATAAGAAGTCTTATATGATTTTATGATGTGCGGTTTTTTTATTTTTGTTACAAGGCTAAGAATATGTTTTTTTTACTTATATGGAAAAAAGTACACAATTTTTTTTGTTATCTTAAGAGTCTAAAGATTACTTACAAATCTTTAATTAATACAACACGAAAATTGTTTTTTAACATCTTTTAATTTAAGAGTTATGTTTTCGATTTGAATTTAATACTCGTTAAATTAGTAGGTTTATCGCTAAGATGATTTTCTTGAAATAAAACATATTTATATTTTTAACGTTTCATTATCTTTGCGAGATATTGACTAAGAGTTGGCTAATTAAAAGCACGATAACAAAATGTCGACAAAATAACTTACTCAAACAGAATTAAGTACTATTTGGCTGTTAATTTCCACGAATCTTTCGTATGATTTATAATTTTTTATAATTGTAAAGTTTTCTATAATCAAGTTCGTATGTATAATATACAGTGTATGTATATATATGTTTTACGCAAAATTTTCGATATTTTGCAATTGAATATTATAATTATATAATTTAATACAAATTTTCCACCCTTATTAAATCTTTTTTGTTTATTTACAGGTAACGCGGATGTCATTTATCAAATTGTACAATAATTTCTGGTCCGTAAGTTTATAGCAATAAGTTTTTTTGAGCATTTTAAAAAACTTACAATAAAATTTGCTGTAATTTTGAAAATTTTCTTATAAAAGAGATTTTGATAATAAAATTTGTCACAAAATTACTTTTTAGGAAGTTTTTTATTGATAAGATAAAATTTTGTGATTATAGGCACATTGTAATTGACTAAAAAATTCATATTTCAAGCGAAAACATTAAGTACTTAAACAACTTAATTTTAAATAAATTAAAATTAAAAAAATTTTGTTGAACATGAAATGTATAAGCATTTTAATAAATTAAAAAATTTTCTTTTTATCATAGGTATAAATCAATTTGGGATCAGTATGTATACTCTCTAGTGTATATCCCTAGTATAATTATAATATATAGAAATGAATTAAGTCATTTAGAAAATCAATTATGTACTCGTATATGAAATAAAAAAGTCCAACGTTTTCTTTAATAAAATATATGTACCTAATATGCATGTGTGTATGTATGTAGTTTACAATCAAATGTATAGCTAAACGAGATATCCATTTTCATGATTCATTTACCCACATTATACACGTACTTAAGTCCCACCATGTAGATATGAATTGAAAAAGTGACTTAAATTGTTTTCTTTTTTTTTCTCTTTTATTTGCATTTTGTTATTTCAATATCACAGTTTTTACAGTTTCTGAGATATAGCCAAATTACTTTTAAAGTTGTATGGTAGCTACCAGAAGGAGCCAAGCAATTTTAAAGACTTTTATCAAACACATTGGCCCTACTAATACATTTACTTATATCAAACTTCAATACCACAACTTTTATAGTTTCTAAGATACAGTCAAATAAATTTTGAAGCTGTATGGCAGCTGCACGAACTAGTACCTCCATCATGTCCAATTTAAATAGGGTTCTGGCACTTACTATAAAAAATTATTTGTGGAAATTTGGTGAACTGAGCTCAATTCGAAATCGACCGAAAATTCGACGCTGATCAAAAACTTATACTTGAGTCTATATCTCAGACCAATATTTCTTAGCATTACAAACGGTAAGGAAAATTTAGTGTACTCTTCGAACATACGTTTGTACGGGTATAAAAATATTAAGCGTAATATCTTTACAAAGCGCCAAACCAATGAAACATGATGACGACAAGGAGTTTTTCTTTAATGTCCTAGCACAAAAAATAAATTAGTGTAAAAAAAATAAATTTGTTTTTAGTGCTAAGACTCTTTAATGTTCACTCGTGAAGGCACTTGAATTCTCCCTGAAACACGTGATAGATTTTGAATCTCCGCAACCGGAATTTGCAGAAAAAGCCCCATGGAGATATATTACAGGCGAAATGGAGTAGTTCTAGCAGTTTTTTTGGTTTATAGTGGAGTAACGCTGAGTCACTTAAGTATAAATTGAATAATATCAGAAAATTGGAGAGAAAATTCTGCAGGATTCGCTTGGATATTTACGAAGAAGTACCTGTTCGAGGGGGTTTCCCCACCAGAATGTCCTTTCTGTGGCGAAGTCGAGGCATGTCTTTTTTGCTAATTTTTTTAATTTACATAAAGTTATATACGTATATAAAATTAAAGTTTAAAAATGTAGTTTTTAAAGAAATATAATTAGGTATTAAAATAGTTTACTATATTTCTGGTACGTGGGATTGAAAACAAAAATAATTTGAAAAATTCAGGTGTATGAATTATTAATGGTTAGGGCTCGTACATGATGTTATTTTTCTAAGCCCAGAATGGCCCTAGTAGCCGAGGGTGTACCTAATACATCCTTATTTATAAGTTATATTAGATGTTAATAAATAAATAAGTAATTTTAATAATGTGGTAGGTATACATAGACTGTATTTAAAAACAATATTTTCACTTTAAAAAGGGAAAAGTGAAGTTGTTGAAGGGAAAAGTGCTACAACACAAAACATTGGTTTGACCCAACTTTATTTGCTTATAACTTCCCTTCCGAAAAAGATAAAGGCTTTAAATAAATTGTTTTTGGCTAAGGGCTAGTAGAAGCTTTGAAAGCAACATATTACTTGATTTTGTATTTTATGTATTTTACTTTTCGAACTTTGGAAAAAATTTAATTTTTCCCTTCTTTTTTTTTTGTATTTTTCTACAACCCGATAATTTCGTATGAAATTTTTTGAAACTTTGAAGTTTTTTTCACAGAAATTCGCAAATTAATTTTCAAAAAATCCTTTAACGGGACAGAAGATAGCACAAAAGCCATTTTTATGTTAAGATTTTAAGGGGCCTAATAAAAAGTCTGATGTGATCAGCCCATAATCGACCGCAATGTGTATTGTCCAGTTAAGTGAAAGTGCTACAGAATATTATAAAAATCACTATTAAATACTTCTTTCCCATTTTTAGGGCATTAGAAAGCTTATAGTTAACATACCTAGAAAAATGTAAATTTGGCTCTTAGTAGAGTTTCGCTTTGTGCTACGCGAATTCTTTGAAATGCTCACCAGTTAGTTTCGGTAACAACCAGAACTTACTTGCTGTTACTTTTGTTGCTGTTACTTTCGTCATAGGTCGCACTTCGTTCACATATTTGTCAAATATTAAAAAACCTCATCTATATTCAATAAACTTTTATCATTTTGGTTTTTAAATTTACTTGAAGTGAGAAGACGCGTTTTTAAATTTTAAAAATAATAATGAACTAATTTAAAACAAGTAAAAACGGTATAAACCGCCCGAATAATACTCTGAAGAATACTTTGACAATCTGATTTTAAAAATTTGTTTTTGAAATATTTAGAATTAACTTTGATTGCTAAATGGCAATTACTTGAACCTGTCAAACCACTCAATAGAAACTTCACGGATATTATATCTGACGTATATATAAGTGGACACACGACTGCCGAGTTCCATAAATCTAATTTTTTAGCACTTTTCCAAAAATTTTTTGAAAAAAAGTCGAAATCGGATCGCAAAAAAGTTAAACTGGCAGCATTTTCTAAAATTTTTTGTTTTCGACATTTTTGAGAGTTTTTCAAAGTAATCAAAGTTTGAATTTTTTAAAAATAGTCATAAATTTAAATGTATGTATAATATTAAGGGGGCGATCATTGTTAATTTTTTAAACGAATATGGATAACAAGACTTTTATGCAGGTTAAGATTTAAATATTGCTCTTGCTCAGCAAACCATTTTACTTGTTATAACCGAAGTTTGTAAAGCTATAGATGAATAGATAAGTTCCATAAAAATAAAACTGGAAAGGGCCAATGTCGAGAAAAGAGAAGTGAAATAAATATGGCATAGCGCATGAATTTTACTATTATCGTAAACCGGAATAGTTTTGTATTTTATTTTGACATACATATAATAATTTTGATCTATAATAATTACAAAAATTTAGTTAAATGCTGTAACTTTGATATACAAGGTTTTTTTAATTTAAAAAGTTAAGCAAAATAAATGTAACACTTACATTATTCAGTTTTATTTTTTCAAAAACTTAGACTTTCGCAATAGATTTGTAAACAAAATGGCAAGTGAATGAAAAGTATGCGAAAGTAGCATTCTGTAGAACCACTTTTGCTACTTTCAAACACGCAAATTTGCGTTATTCGATTTACATAGTGTCAAAATTTAAAATGCGAGAGTCATTTAGCGAAAGTATCACTACGCAGTAGGCCACCAGTTGTAATATTTTCATTTTACAATGACATTAAAATATTTGTCATTTTTTCAAGTTCTCTAAATTCATGATAGTTTTATCATAGTCCCATGAGAATCGATGTATTTAAACTTGAAATTAGAAAAATTTGTTTAGTATTTCAGAAAAATTAATTATTTGCAATATTGTAATTAAAATTGAAAATATAACATTATTTTTGAATGGGGTCAGATTTAAGGCAATAATATTATATTTTATAGTCTCACTATTAATTTTATTATTAGAATTTTATGATAAATGTTGTTATTGATCAAATCAGTAAATAAAGAAATAACTTGAGTACAAAATATGTCAGCAAATGGACCTTTCAAATTTTTATTTTAAGGTTTAATCGTTCTACACCAATAAGATAGCATCGTATATGACAAAGAATTTATTTTTTATACCTAATAGGAAAATAATTCGCAAAAAATAAATTTAGCGTAAAATTTTCTGATAACCACTAACGAATCTTTTTGATTAATGTAAAGGATTACATTACACTCCCTCCTCTCTAGAAGTTATACCCCCCAAAAACCCTAAAAATGGCCTTTTTTAACTATTTGTTGCAATGAAACCATAAGCATTTTTGAAATTTTGCAAACGCAGAAAGGCAGTGGCTTGCTTCCTCTAGCGCGGTATACTATAGCTAAACTTTAGGAAAACAAAATGGCCGTTCAAATTTCCGTTACCTAAAGTCCTTTTTTTCCAAATTTTTGATGTCGTTTTTCTTCTAGACCCCAGTCTGTAGAAGCTTGAAATTTTACGGGCTTTTAGACATTAACAAACAGTTCATTTTTTTAGAAGAAATTTTTTTTCCATCTCCACCCCCTCTCAAGATATCGCCTCTTGAAATTTGTAAAATTTGAATTTTTGACACCTTATATTTCCGAAACCTCAAGCTTTTTCAAATTTCTATAAACGCAAAAAGCTAACGGTAAATTCTATGACATTAAAAAATATAATTATTTTTCTTAACTCTCACAATTAACCCTTAAAATTGAGCATTAAGTTAACCCCTCTTTAATTAATTTTTACTTTATTTCAAAGACTGCATATCTCGTTCATCCTAAATATATGCAGTCCTATAAATAGTTTCATGTATGAATGAAAATAATTTTAATAGTGTATAAGTATGTAGATTGCTTTTAAAAGCACTATTTTCTTTTGTTGAAGGGAAAAGTGCTACAATACCAACCATTGGTTTGACCCAACTTTATTTGATTTCAATGTCATCTTAGCTAAAAGTGTAACACTGATAAATATACATAAATATAATTATATTTTAACATAAATCATTGTATTTTAATATAGTATAGCCATATTTAATGCAGATTTACAAGTCTTTATATCTCACATAATGAGTTTCTGGGCGGTATTTTCTTATATATATATGTATATTGTATAATAAACGCAAT